TTCACGGTCCTGCAGTTAACTTCTGTTGACTAAAGAATAGCAACTAAGATTCACCAAGCGCTCACCTGTCAGGCGCTGTTGAAACCGCTGTACCCACAGAACATCTCGTCCACCCATCATATTGGTGAGAGGATGTCAGCTCAGTGACTGGCCGCACTTGACAGAAAGGAAGATGGGGGCTCAGAGAGATTTAGTCACTTGCTCCGCCATGTCACACAGCTAGTGACCGATGGAGCAGGATTTAACCCCATCTCAGAATCCCCCCTCCCTCGCATCTCATACTCTCTGTGAAGCAAATACCCATTGATGGAGAAAAGGCCAAGCCAGGGCCTGAGTAAAACCAGGAGAGAATTATTGAGACTTGATGGGGGAGGTGGGGTCTTGCCAGGTGATTCATGAGGGTTTGAGACTCGGAGAAAGTAACAGATGGTGCATATATAGCAGCCGATGGGCCCTGATCTTCACAATAACCCAAGGCATTGAGAAGGATCATGATCCACAGTGTGCAGATGAGCTTCTCTGTGGCTCAGAGAGGTTAGGCGGCTTGACCAAGGTCACACAGCTGGTAACCAACCAGGCAAGCTTATGCTTCAAAGCTTCCTGCCACCCACAAACCAAAGGAAAAAACTGCAGGGGTTATCTTCTTATCCATGGAAGAGCTGCTCCACTGGTTCACTGGGGAACAGGGACTTTGGCAGAGTCCACAGAGGCTCCCTGCCAGCCTGAGTATCGACTGTCAGCTGCACCCCCAATTCAAGAAGCAATAAGATGGCACCCATGGTGTACTCCTGGAGGAGGGGAACCTTCATGCACTAAGGAAATGTGCAAGGAGCCGCTAAGCCCCTCCGGCCCCTTGGTCCTCTCTCGGTAGCGCCTGAGCATCTTTCCCTCTCCCTCCACTCTCAGGCATCTGATGGCACATGTCCCAAGGCACAGTCCTAACATTCAGCCACCCTCCTTCTCTCCTCCGTTACCCTGGTCCTCAGAAGCTTGCTCAGGTGAAACTTTGGCAATGACAACTCACATCCTTGAAGCCAGGGAGACCTGTGCCTGCATTCCACCTCTGAGGCTACTCACTAGCTGTGTGGCCTTGACCCTTAAGACCAGCATCTGAGCCTCGGTTGCTCCCTTCATAAAATGGGCTTGATAATACCTACCTGAGGCCAGCAGCCTGCGTGGAGGCACGACCCCCAGTCCTAGCACATAGAAAGGGTCAGTGAATACTAGCTACTCGCAGTGGAAACCCAGTTATTCTCTGTGGTCAGTGAGGCCGTGGCTGCCCTCCAGCCCCATGAGAGCCGAATGCTGGGTTCAAGTGGCTCCAGCAGTCACCACCCTCCCCCCTGCCAGGCCCCCTGCTGCGCCCTTCTGTCTACAGCCTCCCCCAGGCCAGTTCCCAGACTCCTTCACCCCAGAAGTGGCTGAGCCAATGTTCAGAGCCAAGTGTGGGATGCCGTCTACACCTCCCTGCGGGGGAGCCTGATTTAACTGAGGACGCACCTGCAGTCCCTACAGGAGGAGGTACAGAGGAGCCTCACCTAAGTTCATCTTGCAAGACCCCAATTCAGAAGGGTGCGTCGTCCCTGCAAGGGGACCTTCAAAGCGAGACTTCAATACTGGGCCTCATTTTTCTTTTTTTAAACCTTGCATTCATGTGTCCTTTGCAAGGGGCCAAGCTAACCACCCTATTTCCCCAGGGCTCTTGAAGTCTAGCTCAGAACTGGAGCTGACGGCCGTCGCTTTGACAAGTTCTGTGAGCACACAGCTCACCACTTACTGGCTTTGAACTAATAGTCAGGTGATTCCCACTCAGTGCTGGGGCTCTCCCCACTTGGACATGAGCATCCCGAGCAGCAGGGGCTTTGTGTGTCCCCTTCGTCCCCATTTCCCCTGAGCATGGAGCAACGCTCGGTTCACAGGGGCAGAACATGATCCAGCCTCCTCTGTATCCACAGATCCAGCATCAGAGGATCCAGCCAAGTGCAGATGAAGAAAAACTGCAGCTGTGCTGAACGTGTAGAGACAGCTTTATGGTCATTATTATTTTACGTAAATGATATATTACAGCAAAAGTTTACACAATGTACACATTGTACTAAGTATTAGAAATACTCTAAAGATGGTTTAAAGTAGAGAGAGTTGCAGAGATGATATGCAAATATGACACCATTGTATATAAGGGACTGAGCATCCACAGACTTTGGTACCCACAAGGGCGCTGGATCCAATCTCACATTTACCAAGGGACAATGACATATACTTAAGTGGAAGGATGGACAAGCGAGCCTCAGTTTGGTCATCTGTAGGATTCAGATGAGCATAACTCCACCAAACTACCCAGCCAGCCATGCCGCTCCTCAGTATTTATCCTGAAGAATTAAAATCATCATGCTACCAGAGCCGCACCGGTCACAGCAGCCAAACTAGGGAGCCAGCCTAGGGGTCCATCCATGGATCAATGGATGAATGGATGAAGAAAACGTGGTGTCTCTACACAACCGAGTTTTATTCGACCCTAAAGAAGAATGAAATTTTGTCATTTGCAGGAAAATGGATGGAACTTGGGAACATTATGTTAAGCCAAACAAGCCAAACTCAGAAGAGGGGGTGGTTCCTCTCATATATGGAAGCTACAGAGGAACAAGGACAAGAAAGGTGGGGGCGGGGGAGGGGGCGCTCTAGAAAATCTAAGGGAGATCAGGGTCAGGGGATGGGAGGAAGGGGCAATGGGGGGAAGGATAGTGTCCAAATTATAATGTTCAGTGGTGTGCGTGTGCGCATATGTGACAGCACTGCCCACCACCCTGTCCTGCTATTAAGCATCAATTTAAAACTATAGAAAAAAAATTTTTTTTAAGAAATCTATTGAACATTTTCAAAAGATCAGCATTACCGCTGCGGGGTTTGCACAGGAGGGCCTGAGTGTGCCAAAGCCATGTAGCAGGAGGACTGGCGGAGTGTGTCTGGGAAGGGAGTGCTACTTAGACAGACAGACACACAGACAGACAGAGAGACACAGACCCATAGGCACAGTCTGCGCGCGCACACACACAAACACACACACGACACAGCAGCAACAGGAACCCACCCAAGCCATGGCTGTTGC